CGCCAGGGGTTCTTCAAAGAAGACGCAGTGCTAAACGCGGCGATCGCTGAGTGGGATCTCAGGCTCAATGAACTCCTCAACGCGGAGTGGAGCTAGGGGGCAGAGTAGCTCTCCCCCGCAGGTGGAGGAACTCCCCTGCGAGAGTAGCAAGTGGAGTAACTCGCTTAGTCTAGAGCAGAGGTCGAGGCGCTTCCAGGACCGGCGGAGTAACTGCCGAGGAAGAATGGCCCAACGTTTTTATTTGAAAAAGGCCGTGTTTTTGCATGCAGCCTTGCACAATACTATCGGTTGCACCAGTTGGTTCCCCTGGACTTCGTGGCAGGCCAAGTCACAGCTTCGAGGAGGTACTCCCGAAAAAGCGGCTCTGTGTCAATGGTACAGTCAGTGCCCCAGCTTTGCTTTCAAATGCAGCAATAAGGCACTGTCATGTCTGAAGAAACGTGTCCCTGCCGCCACATTGCCTCACAGACCCCCAAGGATCTAGCGAAACCCCTAACCGATCAAGATGGACTCTAATCGTCAGGGAAGTCACGCATATGCCCGCTTTCAGCGGAAGCTGATGCCCTGCAGTCCAGATCATTGCGTGGATCTCACGGACGGTCCAGAGGGAGAAACTCCTCTGGGGCAGCACTCGACAGCATTCTCACAGGCATCGCTCGGCGCATTACATGTCCCACAATGCCCGCAGGGCGAGTTTGCCGGGTCGCTGAATAGAATCTTGGAGGAGCCAGTGTCTGTCTACGCGCAGAGTGATACGGTCTTTCGAACGTGTCTGCAGCTGCAAAAGTATTTGATTGAGCCCATAGCTCGACCTACCACGGCGGCCATGCATTCTGCCGAACTTCTGGCGAATCAGTGCCTAAGCACAGGGGAAGCCAATTGGGCGGATCTTCTTCGCATAGCTCAGCTACTCCCGCAACCACGACAGTCACGCTTTCCTCGATATGCGCCAGTCGGAGAACTTGCTCCGGTGAGCTTTACGACAGGAGCATGCGCGCGAGGACCCAACGTCGGCATCACCAGGTACATGAAGGACTATCCCAGAGTCACTCAGGTCTTGGCCATGATCATCCAGGCTATCGACCCAGAGCACCGCTTCAGCTCTTGCACACTGTCTCTCAACACGGGAGCCTCAGCACATCGAGACAGCCACAATGCCCGCGGAAGCAGCAATCTCTTAGTTCCATGCTCCACCTTTGAAGGTGGGGGCATTTGGCTTCAGAACGACAGAGGGAGTGTTCAATTAGAGCCAGCCGGCCCACTAGGCAGCATAATGGATGTAACTTCTCCGATACGATTTAGCCCGTTTCAGCAACATGCCACAATGCCCTGGCATGGAGACAGGCTGGTTTTGGTAGCCTTCCACGTCCGTCACCTAGACAATCTGCCGGTTGAAGATCTGGTGGATTTGACGGATTGCGGTTTCAGCATAGACCCAGGACTGGACTAGCGGCTCAGGGGTAAGAGCTTGCAGAGAGTCAAAAAGCTTCTCACTCCGCCACTCTCCGACCTGCACAAAGCATGAATAGGCCGTCCGGACAACGAGGGCACGTACATCTGCCAGGGCCTGAACTGTTAGTTTTCATTCCAGTGTTTTCCTTTGCTTAGTGAGGTCATGTCCTATTAATAGCTCTTCCGGCTCGCAGAAACACTCATGTACCACGTCCAAGCTTAGCAGACGTACACTTCTGGGAGCTCACTAGGGATGTCACAGCAAGATGACTCCTACCGAGCGGAGTACGCGGCCTATTCGGCGCGACGGGCCGCGGATGGACTGCCCAAGGTTTCTTATAGAAACTATTTGCGGCAATGGCGCCGCTCGGAGGAGGGGCATACAGCAAGAGGAGAACCTCCCATAGAGAAGGGAGGCAAGGGTGGTAAGGGTGGAGTGACTCCCCCACCACCACCTCCAAAGAGGCGACAAGAACTAACAGAGGGTGGAGAAGCTCCCCCTGCAGTCAAGGCCAAAGGTGGAGAAACTCCCCTTGAGACAGCAGGAGCGCCTTCAGCGCAGCAGCAAGCTCAGGAGAGCCAGGCAACGAAGGCCTCCAAAGTGTTGGAGGAAGCTGGCTACCCGGAATTTCCTGACTACGTCCCCTCCTGTGGAGGTAGCATCGCGGATATAAACCAAGGACGATTGACAGTAGCAGCCACCAAGAAGCTCATAGAGGGCCTTAGCCCGTGCACAGAACCCAATACGGGCATTGCTAATGCCCTCATGTCGTCGTTCCTCCGCACAAGGAAAGGCTTCGCTGGGGAGGACCTCCTCTCCAAACTTGGCAGTGCTGTGGCCTTCCCTGGCAGCTGGTTCAAGTTTGAATTCCGGGCTCCGAATCGCCTGGAAGCAGCAGCCGAACATCAGTATGTTGGGTTCCACGGAACCCATCTGGAGTGCCTTCACGCAATCCTCTCGACAGGACGGCTACTCCCAAGCGACCCTGGGATTCCAGGCACCCGCGCCTTTACAGACAGGAACGGCGTCTACCTTCATAAGCCGATCAATCGGCACTTGGCCGAGAATTACAGCTCCTTGACGCGCTACGGCGCAAGACATATCTTTGTGAAGCCGTGCGTGGAGGTGGTGTACGACATCCGCGGAAGTCTCAAGGCAGGTAAACAGACTAACCAAGTCATACAAGCATTTGACAGCGTACAAATCGTGGCCATACATCTCCGTATAGCTACTCAGCAGAGCCTCCAGGCGTCAGAATACTTGATGGAGTGGTCGAGTAGCCTCGCGTTACCTCTTCACGCAGCTCGTTCTGCATTTGAGGCTCTTGGACTGGGGGATCGTCTGTCAGTGCCTGTGACGCCTATGGTGCTCCCGGGTGGAGAAACTCCCCTGGGAGCCGGGAAGAGTGGAGAAACTCCCTCAAGCTCCTCTGAGATCGCGACTCACGGGTCCTCAGTTCGCTCCGAAGGCACAGTCGGTGGCAGAAGCACCCTGGCCACAGTAGATGAGATGCTTCCAGAGATCCGGGAGTGGCTTGGCGAAGAGGGATCGCTTGGATCCTTCCGGGAGTCTGCGAAAAACCCGGAGAGCCCGCTGGCATATTCGATCTCGAAAGGTCTAGCGGCATGTCTTCGTCATAATCACAAGCCGCGCCTTCAAGTCAACGAAGCGGGATGGGCCAGACTGTCCGAGGTACTCTCTTGGCCCCGTATTGCTGAAACCTCTGCCTCAGCTGGGGACATGCTGGAGGTGGTTCGCAGCAATCAAAAACAAAGATACCAACTGGGACTTCAGGATGATGGCCCTTACTTCATTCGGGCAGTACAAGGCCACTCAAGAACAGAGGTTGGTGAAGAGAATCTGTTGGAACCAGTGTCGGAGGAGCAGCTCCCCGACACGCTACTGCACGGTACCTCTTGGAATGCCTATGAAAGCATCCAGCAAAGGGGGCTTCTCCCAGGCAGAAGACTACAAGCAGCAAAGGAGGCCGGAAAGGAGGCAAGTGGCGCGAGGGGCGGCAGCATGTACACTTCTTTAGCGATGCAGGTGGCGTCTCAGGCCAACGGGAAGGCTCCACAATGCTGGTGAGAATTTCAACACGCAAAGCCTCTGAGCAAGGAGTTCGATTTCTCATCAGCCGCAACGGAGTGTACCTGACGCCAGACGAAGTGCCACCTGAATGCATCACTAGCTTCCAGTCCCTGCGTACAGGCGACCTCTACGATCGAGATGGTGAGCGCATTCAAAGTTCTGGCTAGGACTCGTACAAAGCGCAGTGGAGATGCTCCCCTTCTGTCCTGAGGAGTAACTCCCAGGATCAACAAGACGAGCCGTGCATTGGCTTGTATTATCCTTTTTTTTCTGCGGAGAAACTCCCAGTACGCCGATTGTAAAAATACAGGACGAGCTACCATGTGACTGCCACAGCCAAAAACAGTGAGATGTTCTCTGACGACCTACTAAGCATTTCCCGAAGTCACCTAACCTGAGGCTCTGACACGAGCCAGAATCTCAGAGTACTGCCGGCACGGTGTAATGATCCGTCAATCAGACATCGCGATGACAAATGTTAGGCCTGCTGCCTTTAGGGGCGAGGCATCAGCAGGTGTTGTGTTTAGGCACGACCTGCACAGTATCAGCGATGTCCAGCGAGCCCGTTCCAAGCAGGTGATCGCTATGCAAGGCTCCTGCTGCCCTTAGGGGCGAGGAGACAACTTCGCAAGGCTGCAACCAAGTCGAGAGGCAATCATTGAGGAGGAGCAACTCCCCGGGGGGGCTGCAATAGCTGAGTCGTCGCTAAGCGA